CATGCTGTCTATCTAGCGAGGACCTACACCCCACACTCTGCTGGTAAAATGACATGCGTGTATCAGATGAAGATGTTGTCTTCCCCTAATATCATTTATCCTTTTGAAGCCCCTTGAATTTAAATATCACAAACTGTATTTGTCATTCAAACTAATGCTGTCTCGAAATCAAAGGGATTTGTTATCTTTATATAAAACTTGAATACAAAACGATGTGATGAACGAGACGTCAAAGAAATGAACATTGGACATTATTGTTGTCAAGTGGTTTCGGTCGCTTATCAGATTTAAACACACGCGTGCGGACAGCTATTAGCCAGGGCGTGCCTCCAAGAGGGAGTTTTTTTGTAACAAAAGCTTTTGAAAGCGTATCGACAATGAGTTATGATATCCTAATTTCATGAGCGTTTATTCAGCTCACGTTTGAGTAAAGCGTGAAACCTTCAAAGTTGGCTGTAGGCAAAGACATGAAAAAATATCTTCAATTGAAAACAGATTATCGTTTCCCCTGCCAGTTCTTCTAATTATACCATATCTGAAATATTAATGGTCATATTGTTTGATAAAAGCATTAACTTTGACAAAAGCAATAAAGAATTTTTAACTCGGCGTCATTGTGACTTTCCTCATGTTCCCCACGGAAATTGGCGAAGTTGAACGAAATATACATCTATTCAAGAAGCCAGGAATCGCTCGATTACAGCGCTAATTGACGTCAAATAGACGCATGCCATTGATTGGATATATAGGCAGGAAACACCTCAAAGAGAACACAGAAATAGACCATTGGACTCCCAGTTGCAATGACCCTCATAGAACACTGGCTCAAGCGGTTAAATTTTAATGAATTTTGTCGAGTTCCTACATCTTGAAATGCGCAACGTCAATCTGACGCCATTTCGGCAATATGGCGCGGTGTGTAATTACGTCTTGACTGTAGTACATCAAATAGAGAGATGGACTGTAGTGGTTAATCTGCCCAACTCTCCTAGTTCAGACTTACAATGTCAGTCCTGCGTTGATGAGGGGGATTTAGTAGGATCTCAAGGCATGCTTACAGGATTTGCTAATAATACTAAGCTGCAAACGGGCCCGTTAATCATGGCATGATGGGATATGACGTCGCTTAATCGTTGTGTGGCGAATACGCTTTGCTTAATGCTGACGGTGTGGAGGTGCAACTTTAATGGAAATGTTTTGCTCATTCAATGCATCTGGGACTAGACAATTGGGATTGTTTAGAGCATTCGAGAGTAGAGATGCTGTATTGAGTTTGTTGATGTAGGGATAGAGTACGCCGAGAGTAGACCTCAAACCGGGACATAGTAAAGTGAAGGAGGTAATGGATATGCGGTATCTTGACAACAGGATTGAGCCATACGGAATGAATATTGTTTAGGACTCGGATCAATAAGCAACTACATCCTTTGAGACACACTTTTAACAAATGCGCCACTTAACTGATTTAAAAAAATGAAGTAAATGCATGTTGACACCCTAAATGCAGTCGTAGCGGATAGGTTGTGACATGGACGATAATGTTTGCAGGTTTATGTAAAATTTGATCATTTCTTATAGGATCATATAAACAATCTCGGAAAACTAAATGCTTAATGGCAAAAAGTGGAGTTAATGCAGGCACTTAAATTATCTATCATACAGAACATGGAAGAAATGTAAATATTTACTTTACACAATGAGTTTAGATTCACTTAATTTTCATTGGTTGTGGTAGATTTAGACGAGTGTGTCTTTCTTCCTTGTCGGAAAGAACACCGGAACTACTTTCTGTTCCTGGCACTCACTGACCTCCCTTGAGTATCTACTTGCAACCATGTAACAAAAGCTGAACAAACTTGGGTATAGAAAACGCAAGCTTAAATGCTCTGGAACGTCTGTTGCTTTCAGTGAAACAAGCAGCCGTGATGGCTGTGACCCACGTGCAGTACAGCTGATTACAGTCATTGGACCAGCTGACTGGATTTCCTTCAATGATTTTACAAGTCGCCATCGTGTTCCTCGGGAACTTGGGAACCTAGTTTGTATGTCCCCGTGTGTATGCCTGTTCCAGGTTTTTACTGACCTTAAAATGTCAGTGGTTTTCCTCATCGTTTGTTCAGGATTGTAACATCTTGGTAGCCTTAAATCTTAAATGCTTACCTACCAAAAGCACAAACCACGCTCAGGATGAAACTGACTTAGGTTTAAACGTATTGGCTACACACTGAAGCATAGCCTAGGATTTCAATGAATAATAATGTTGCCTTACAGTAATCACTTTAATGATTTAAAGATCGATATTTACATAATTAACCAACAAAAAGAACATGTGGATGATGCCGTCGTGATGCTGGACAAAACAACATGATCAAATCGTTATTATTAATTTTGTAACTGTCTACAATGGTATGTGAGAGTTTGATATTAGAATTGATTAGAATTGTATATAGTTACAAACTAGTTGTTTTAAAAATATGTTACTTACCAAGGCATTTGATGGTTTCAGCTCAATAACGTGTGCTTTGTAATATAGACAGGGACTACCATTAATTAACATAACCATAGTTGCTGTGTCGTTTTGTATATGCAGAAATGTGATAGCTATATTAAACATGGCTGTAAACGTGTTCTGACGTAGCGCTAAAATCGTTAAAGATTAAGAAGATTTGATACAATATGAAGTGAAGTTATATATAACTATGAACTAAATCCTTTGTGGGGGTAACTTGCCGCATCGGATATAATTATATCAGGCATCATGACGTCACATGACTAGGTATTTTGTAATGTGATAAAATTGTCATTTTCCGTTTTTACTAAACTTGATTAAAACACGGGATGTCAATGACGTATATAACTACACCCTACTACTACGACCTCCCTGCTACAGGTTGTCCACGCTTGTCGGCTGCTGTAGTATGTAACTATGTTCTGTAGTGTATAACTACATGTATGTTCTGTAGTATATAACTACACCCTACCACTGCGACCTCCCTGCTACAGGTTGTCCACGCTTGTCGGCTGCTGTAGTATATAACTATGTTCTGTAGTATATACCTATGTTCTGTAGTATATAACTATGTTCTGTGGTATATAACTATGTTCTGTAGTATATAACTGCACCCTACCACTGCGACCTCCCTGCTACAGGTTGTCCACGCTTGTCGGCTGCTGTAGTATATAACTATGTTCTGTAGTATATAACTATGTTCTGTGGTATATAACTATGTTCTGTAGTACATAACTACACCCTACCACTGCGACCTCCCTGCTACAGGTTGTCCACGCTTGTCGGCTGCTGTAGTATATAACTATGTTCTGTAGTATATAACTATGTTCTGTAGTATATAACTATGTTCTGTAGTATATAACTATGTTCTTTGGTATATAACTATGTTCTGTGGTATATAACTATGTTCTGTAGTATCTAACTATGTTCTATGGTATATAACTATGTTCTGTGGTATATAACTATGTTCTGTGGTATATAACTATGTTCTGTAGTATATTACTTTGTTCTGTAGTATATAACTACACCCTACCACTGCGACCTCCCTGCTACAGGTTGTCCACGCTTGTCGGCTGCTGCAGTATATAACTATGTTCTGTAGTGTATAACTATGTTCTGTGGTATATTACTATGTTCTGTGGTATATAACTATGTCCTGTAGTATATCACAATGTTTTGTATAGTATAACTATGTTCTGTAGTATATAACTATGTTCTGTAGTGTATAACTATGTTCTGTAGTATATAACTATGTTATGTGGTATATAACTATGTTCTGTAGTATATCACAATGTTTTGTATTGTATAACTATGTTCTGTAGTATATAACTATGTTCTGTGGTATATAACTATGTTCTGTAGTATATAACTACAGCCTACAACTGCGACCTCCTGCTACATGGCGTCCACGCTAGCCGTCTGCTGTAGTATATACTGCATGTTATAGATGACAACGTTACTCCAAATTAGAGGAGGTAATGACATTTTAAGAAAGTCTTGTCATCTGACATTCTGTCTGTCCCAGAAATTTATAAACAAGACAAGACAGCCTCCCCGACAGCCGACAACTCACGATCACTAAGTGGTCTCCGCTTCCGAGAATGATCCCTGATGGTTGCTGAATATTGCTACCATATATACCGCGGTGACTAATTGTCAGATAAAGCTAGTTGCTGAATATTGCTACTATATATACTGTGGTGACTAATTGTCAGATGAAGCTAGTTGCTGAATATTGCTACTATATATACTGTGGTGACTAATTGTCAGATGAAGCTAGTTGCTGAATATTGCTACCATATATACTGTGGTGACTAATTGTCAGATAAAGCTAGTTGCTGAATATTGCTACTATATATACTGTGGTGACTAATTGTCAGATGAAGCTAGTTGCTGAATATTGCTACCATATATACTGTGGTGACTAATTGTCAGATAAAGCTAGTTGCTGAATATTGCTACTATATATACTGTGGTGACTAATTGTCAGATGAAGCTAGTTGCTGAATATTGCTACCATATATACTGTGGTGACTAATTGTCAGATAAAGCTAGTTACTGAATATTGCTACTATATATACTGTGGTGACTAATTGTCAGATAAAGCTAGTTGCTGAATATTGCTACTATATATACTGTGGTGACTAATTGTCAGATGAAGCTAGTTGCTGAATATTGCTGAATGCAACAGAAAACAACATTTACTCATTGTCGGGTTCCGTCGTGATTAAACTTTTTGTCTTTATCAACAGTTTCGAAACGGTGAACACAAAAGAACACGTGTGGCAAACACAGGCTGTTATAGGTGGCCACGAGCTGCCACAGGTGGTCCTATAAATAGACACTGGGGACACAGGGGAACACAGGCCGACACAGGAGGACACAGATAAGCGTAGCTGGACACTTGATTACATTGTCAAACACAGGTGGAAACAGGTGTTACAGGTGGTCACGTGTTGCCACAGGTGAGTGGAGGTGGACACAGACATAGTCACAGGTGTACACAGACAGAAACAGGTGGATGCAGGTGGACACAGGAGGACACTGGAGGACACAGGCACACCCAGGCGTAACAGGCGAGTGGAGGTGGACACAGATAGACGCAGGTGCACACAGACAGAAACAGGTGGGCACAGGAGGAGACTGGAGGACAAAGGCACACACAGGAGTAACATCTGATTGGAGTCGGACACAGATAGACACAGGTGCACACAGACAGAAACAGGTGGGCACAGGAGGACACTGGGGAACACAGGAACACACAGGAGTAACATCTGATTGGAGTCGGACACAGATAGACACAGGTGCACACAGACAGAAACAGGTGGGCACAGGAGGACACTGGAGGACACAGGCACACACAGGAGTAACATCTGATTGGAGTCGGACACAGATAGACACAGGTGCACACAGAGAGAAACAGGTGGGCACAGGAGGACACTGGAGAACACAGGAACACACAGGAGTAACATCTGATTGGAGTCGGACACAGATAGACACAGGTGCACACAGACAGAAACAGGTGGGCACAGGAGGACACTGGAGAACACAGGAACACACAGGAGTAACATCTGATTGGAGTCGGACACAGATAGACACAGGTGCACACAGACAGAAACAGGTGGGCACAGGAGGACACTGGAGGACACAGGTACGAACGGGAGTAACAGGCGAGTGGAGGTGGACACAGATAGACGCCGGAGTCACAGGCGAGTGGAGGTGGATACAGATAGACGCCGGAGTCACAGGCGAGAGAAGGTGGACACAGATAGACACAGGTGGATACAGACAGAAACAGGTTGAGACAGGTGGACATAAACACAGCTGTCGTCATCTCTATATAATAAGATATACCACATATGTGCTCTCTGCAACATCCCTGGCCACGTGAAAATGTGGGCTAGTATTTTGTTGGACATAGGCTATAAATATTTCAATAAATGCAAACAAAAAGGAAAAGAAAATAGAATTGAAGGTTTGAACATAAGCCCGTGTGCACGCTGTGGTGGAAATGCGCCTATCGACAGTCTTTTAGCGCAAAAATATAAGGCGGTGACAAGTATAAGCAATCAGTGCCATCGTTCAGCCCAATGATACACTACAAGCAACTTCACAAATGCCAATCAGTCTCAATGTCTCAAAATAGCCCAGGGAAAGTTGTCCAATAGTGGGCGTGACAATTTTGTTTTACTTTTTTTATGGAAACATTAACGCAACCAAATGCCAAGGAATAATTTGTGATTTATTTATTGATTATCCTTATTGCCGCGTGCACGTGATAATCTGTGTCAGCGTTACGCAAGATCTACCTAACGGAGCTGTCCTATTGTCTGAATGAACATTTAATTCCTGAAGCGTATTGCTATGTTGCTATGACATGTATATGTCTAGAAACGCTTAACTGCCTTCAATCGAAAGATGTGTACCCCGATTCATAAATTATATTAACGAGCATTGAAACGTTGTCACTCCTCAATTAATGCCCCTATGCACAGCCGGTGTCAGGTGACATGTTTGGTTCGGACACAGAAAGGAAGGGTGTCGCCCACACTAACTGCTCTGGGGAACACAACAACACCTTACACTAGTTTGGGTTAGGCCAGGTGTTTCAACCACACAACCCTATACTCTTGTTTGGTATAATTTAAGTTTGGTACTCCGGATTTAATAATGGTCAGATTAGTTTTAATATTAAATGTGTACCATTGGATCATTCATCTAAGGCGGCCTGTTTGAAGCTGATCCAGAAAGGTTCTTGCAACGATTAGTGACTACGAGTGAAGGCTGGATTCTCCACGTCCAAACAACACTTTGCATGTCTATCTTTCAACGGACATTGATTTTTCTCACTGACTAGTCACAGAGGCACAATTTTCTCATATGATACAGCTTTCGTCATCTCTGTATAATGTAATGTCTACAACAAAACACTCATCAATCATCCCTCGCACTTCCGGAGCAAAGCCAAAAGTCAAAATGTAGCATCTGCCAGTTTGGTAAAAGCCCCGACTCGAATATGGACAAACGAAGGATCATAATCATGGCATTAGTACTCACGAATATTGGATCCTGGCACATCTAAGGAACACAACTCTGCACAGAGAATCGTTCTGCCTTAGATGACTGATCCTACGGTACACATTAGCTATAAAGACCAATCTGATCTTTATAAATTCAACTCGGGTCCTTTTGATTAAATAGATTAGATGTTTGATGTGTGTTGGTCATCAGTTAGTGACGACACGCTGCCTGATGCTGCAGCTAATATAACAGTATAGCATACTGTGTAATGACACTTTTCGCACAATTTTAAAATGGTGGGGTACGATCTTCCCAGAAATCTATGACGGTGGGTTCGAATCCCATATTCGCCCCAATTATGTTTCTAGGTTTGTCGGCACCTTACCCGGGTTTCACCAATGTGGTAACGTCTAAGGCCTGAATAACGTTATGCTCTCCTCCCGTATAAAGTTGACACGCCGTGATACAACTGAAATCGTGTTTAAAGCGGCGTAAAATAATATCACTCTCTCACTTAGTTTATTTCATCATGAGCCATCCCAATGTAATCACTACCAGGCTCCGGAACCAGGACATACATTTGATACAACAATCCCAGGACGTTGATGGCCTCGCGTTTACAATATATATGGGGAAAAGAGAACGAGAAGAAACGCTCAAGAATCATAATTCAAAAGCAGGGTTCTGATTCTATATAACTAGTAGAAGACAGCCCAAGTTCCACCAGTGGCATGAACTATTTGTACCCTATTTCCAGACTTCCGAAGACTTTTCAGTCGGTTTAAGAAGTGCACCGATTACCTGTTTGTTTCCTGATAACGAGGTCATGGACGTGCGACTTGCCTTTGCACGTATTTGTGACGGGTGCCACCGATGGGGCAGGATGCGCTCACCTTTGCGAATACTTGGTATCATCACTTTTTGATAGTGTTTCATAAATGTACTCATTAACTTATCAACATTATCGTTTAAATAAATCGGAGCTTGTCCCATCGGTATTTTCCGATGGGTAACCGCACATAATATTAGCAGCTGCAATATGCAGCAACATACACGAGTAGCAATGATGTTCTAATCTGCAGCACAGAATATTGACGCTGCAGGCAGCTGCACCCAACACTCACGGCGTTATATCAAACAAAGCGCTCACGGTGTAATACCACACCCAACACTTGTGCTGTAATATGCTGCAATATAGAGATAGCAGGTTCGGACAGAGCTATTTAGCATGCAAGCTGTAATAAATCATTTTCGTTGTCATGTTGAAAATAAATAACAACCCATCGGGAACCCTAACGACGTTATACATTACATTCTAATGTTCAAAACGATTTTCTTCCATTTCAAGTTGCACTCAGTGTCAAATAGAACTAAACAAGTGCATTGCCAAAGTCTTTGAAAATTGTTTGTAATGACACGAGCATTCCTATGACAATGGCCACACATCTTAATCATTACACATTTTAGTATAAAGATGACTTGTGTGTTTGAATGTGATGAGGCATCAAAGTCACTGTTGACACTGTAACATATAGCCAGTGTCACGCAGTAACTCGCCACTCGGGGAGAAGATAATAGTAAATCGATCTTTTGGTGTTGAATCAATCACATTATATAAAATTTATGATTCGTAAACGCTATTAGCAATGAATTGATATTCCAAATTACCCAAGCATAATAAAATCTAAATAGTTGAAGGGGAAAGCAAATGGAATTCTTCAGTGCGGAGTGTTAATGTTTATTCCATTAGAAACCCGAGCTGTTTATTCCAACCAGAAAGGGATGCATTTAAGTAACAGCGTGATATCACTGATTAAATGATAGGGCTCGGTTGGTGAAGTGTTAATAAATAATATGCATGTTTAAAACAATCTCGTGGAGAAATACTTGATGCAGTTTAAGTCCCTCGCGTCGGAAATGGAACTGGGGCAAGAGGAGTTGGGGTCTTGCAATTAGTAGCCACTCAATCTGGACTCAATACTGCCCCCGCTTAATGTCTGTCATGTGCCACACAGGCAACACTTGACAGCACGGACGTTGTGTAGAGAAATAAATACAGGTCATGAATATATCACGGTGAATTATGGCTACAATTCTGATGAAGCAAGTCAACTGTCATCTCATAAAATCTAAGGCAGACTTTAAATGAAAATGTTTTACTTATTAGATGATGTGATGATATATTGTATACAAACACAAAGGTAATGGGATATTGTATACAAACACACAGCTGATGACACATTGTATACAAACACACGGGTGATAAGACATTGTATACAAACAAACAGGTAATGGGACATTGTATACAAACATACGGGTGATGAGACATTGTATACAAACACACGGGTGATGAGACAATCACAGTCATGTAATTGGACGTTGTATACAAACATACGAGTGATGAGACATTGTATACAAACACACGGGTGATGGAACATTGTATACAAACACACGGGTGATGGAACATTGTATACAAACACACGGGGGTTGGAACATTGTAAACAAACACAGAGGTGATGGAACATTGTATACAAACACACGGGTGATGGAACATTGTAAACAAACACACGGGGGTTGGAACATTGTAAACAAACACAGAGGTGATGGAACATTGTATACAAACACACGGGTGATGGAACATTGTATACAAACACATGGGTGATGGAACATTGTAAACAAACACAGAGGTGATGGAACATTGTATACAAACACATGGGTGATGGAACATTATATACAAACACACGGGGGTTGGAACATTGTAAACAAACACAGAGGTGATGGAACATTGTATACAAACACATGGGTGATGGAACATTGTATACAAACACACGGGGGTTGGAACATTGTATACAAACACACGGGTGATGGAACATTGTATACAAACACACGGGTGATGGAACATTGTATACAAACACATGGGTGATGGAACATTGTATACAAACACACGGGTGATGAGACATTGTATACAAACACAGAGGTGATGAGACATTGTATACAAACACACGGGTGATGGAACATTGTATACAAACACACGGGTGATGGAACATTGTATACAAACACATGGGTGATGGAACATTGTATACAAACACAGAGGTGATGGAACATTGTATACAAACACATGGGTGATGAATCATTGTATACAAACACATGGGTGATGGAACATTGTATACAAACACATGGGTGATGGAACATTGTATACAAACACAGAGGTGATGGAACATTGTATACAAACACATGGGTGATGAATCATTGTATACAAACACATGGGTGATGGAACATTGTATACAAACACATGGGTGATGGAACATTGTATACAAACACATGGGTGATGAATCATTGTATACAAACACATGGGTGATGGAACATTGTATACAAACACATGGGTGATGGAACATTGTATACAAACACACGGGGGTTGGAACATTGTATACAAACACATTGGTGATGGAACATTGTATACAAACACATGGGTGATGGAACATTGTATACAAACACATGGGTGATGGAACATTGTATACAAACACACGGGTGATGGAACATTGTATACAAACACATGGGTGATGGAACATTGTATACAAACACACGGGGGTTGGAACATTGTATACAAACACATTGGTGATGGAACATTGTATACAAACACATGGGTGATGAATCATTGTATACAAACACATGGGTGATGGAACATTGTATACAAACACATGGGTGATGGAACATTGTATACAAACACACGGGGGTTGGAACATTGTATACAAACACAGAGGTGATGGAACATTGTATACAAACACATGGGTGATGAATCATTGCATACAAACA